ACAACTGGAAATATGCTGAACTGAACCTGGAAGAAATACACATTCTACAAGTGTTATGAATCAAGAGTAGATCTGTCCTCTATCACTTTATCCAATCTCATTTTACAGCTACTCAAAAGGGTGGTCATCATCACCAAGAAGCCATCCTCTCAATGTAATGTAGATTCATGCCATGAAAAGCTGGCTGGAAGAAGAGGAATGCCTCTTCCTGCCACTACTACTGTCAGAATCAGAATTAGAATAGAGCTGGAAGGGGCCTTGGAGGTCTTCTAGTCCAGCCCCCTGCTCAAGCAGGAGATCCTATACCATTTTAGACAAGTGACTGTCCAGTCTCTTCTTAAAAATCTCCAGTGGTGAAGCACCCACAATGTCTGAAGGCAAGCTTTTCCACCGGTTTATCAGTGTGGGAGTAACTTCTGCCTGGTTATGAAAGGCTAATATTTATTTATTTATTTATTTATTTATTTATTTATGAGTCTTATATACCGCTTTAAGTGCAAGCACTCTCTAAGCGGTGTACACCAGTAAGCAATGTATATATATATTTACATTGCCCCCAACAATCTGGGTCCTCATTTTACCTACTTCGGAAGGATGGAAGGCTGGGTCAACCTTGAGCCGGTGAGATTTGAACCGCTGACCTGCTGAACACAGTCAGCTAAAGTGGCCTGCAGTACTGCACTCTAACTGCTGCGCCACCATAATAAATACCCACTTAGGAATAAAACTAGGAGCATGAAAGACGCCTTTCCACTAAATCTTATTCACATTCATATGTGAGCCAGGGTAAAAATTCCTCAGCCATTTTTATAGGAACTGAGATCATAAGACCTTAGAGGACAAAAAGCAAAAAGCCCTTCTAGTGGAAACTTACATACCTCCAATTCTTTCTTCTAGTTGTTTTTGCCACAGTCATGTTTTCCAGAGTATTTCTTGAAATGCACAGCCTACTAAATGAGCTAAGGCAAATTGCTTACCATTGCAGTAAAGCTAACACATTGAGAAACCAATTTTCTGGAAGGAAGAAAAATGCATCTTACTTAAGAGAGTCAAACCAATTCTATAGAACTTGTACCAACAATCCGTTTAGCCTAGTATTAACTTCCTTGACAGCAGAAACTCTCCAGTCCCTTAGGTAGAGTATCTGCCAATGCATTAGCCTAGCTTGAACCCAAGTTTATGTACATGCAAAGAATTTGATTAATGGGCTTTCTCAACCCAATTCTCACAAGATTATTATGAAAATAATAAGAATTCTTGGTACACTCATAGGATCCGAAATATGGAGTCAGAAAAGACTAACAGAAAAAGCAATAAAACTGTCTTCAAGAGGTGGCTATCCAGCTTTTTCTTTAAAAAAAACATCATGAGATGGAGAAGCCACCATCTCTGTAGGTAGACTGTTCCAATGTTTGCACAGATCATCACAATATTTACACAAAATATTGTACTTGCAACTTATACCCATTATTTCTATGCCAATCAAAATAATTCCTGACCATCTTCTCATGTCACCCTTTGGCAAACAAGTATGTATTTCCAGAGAGAGCCATTAGAACTTTGTATAGAACCTGCCCAAACAAGGGAGGATGAGCAACAGTTTTTAAAAAGTAAGGTGAACAATACATAGCTTAGACTTAGAGGATGCCAAGCTTTCAATAGATGTATGCCAAGAAATATGCAAGCATTATGTCTAAACAGAGAAGAAAGGGAGGAGGGAATACTGAGAGTGACTTTATTTTCAGAGCAGTAAAATATAAGAGATTCAAGCTGCATTATGTGCTTAATAAACTTCTTTGCTGCAGATCTCAAATTTATCAAGAGGTAAGGACATCATAGGATCCAAAATTGTTGCTGCACTACCAAACGACAGTTCATGCTTTCTGCATGCCACCCAAAGTGTGATGATACATGCCTCTTTTACCTAAGTCTCTGATTTAGACATGTTCAAACCTGTGTGTGATGTCACCAAGAAACATTAATAGTGAAAACATTAAGATAACTGTAAGAGAGCGCTGTCAGCAGTACAATAGCCTTTTATACAAAACAAATCAGTCCCAGGCGGATGCCCACACCAAACTCTCTTACGTGACCTATAACATTACACCTCTCACATACACAGTTGAAGAGAAAGATCTGCAGCAATGTTTAGTAAAGAACAAAGTTCAGACTGATTCCAAAGGTAATTTCCACAGCCCTTTATCCTTCACTGTCTACTATCATAGCAACTAAACCATCCCACGCGATGCATGCATCTTGAATTTCCAACATGCCTCACAAATTCCATTCTCCGCATCTTAAATCTGTTAGTGGTTTCCATATCAGAACATAATGAAAAGCCAGCATGCTACAAAACAATAAGCTAGTTCAACGATTCTTGTTATTTACTTTTATTTAGCTGCAGCCCTGTGCTTTGTTTGAAATTGTGTGAACCTGCCCAGGAAAAGGATTATTACAGCTGAGGCAGTCAAGAGATTCTTGGGAGACAAGAGGGAGCGACAGAGAGCAAGGGTGTTAGCAGCCTAACATTTTGTGAAAATGTCCATCCTATCACATACTCCATAAATTCCAGATGAGCTCAGGGGTTCATAGAGTTTGGAAATAACAGTGATTCCAATTCCATTAGCATAAAAATATGTAGCTCAAGGCAGAACAGTTGGAATCTTGATGTTTTCTGGCAGAGGTTTCATTATCAGGATGAGTAATGCAACTCCACTCTCCCATGCACTGATGATATTACCTAGCCTGGTAATGAAATGTCTGCCAGAAAACATCCAAGCTCAGAGAACATCCAGAACCCAAGAATTAGTAAGCATGATTCAAATGCCCATAAATGCATATATTATTTTGAGTATCTTCTGTCTGGTCTTGGAACAAATGGTTTGACTAGAGTAAAAGTATCTTATCTTTGACGTTTTTTCTACAATGTAAAAGAATGTCATATAACATGTACCGATTATTTTATTTTATTTTTAATTCCATGCCAGATGAAAATGATCTGACTACAGATTGTTTCCACAATGTGTAGCAATTCAGGGCTGGGAGAGTCTCCAGCTTCATTCCATGTCCTTGGCCATTCAGCCAGATTTTTGTTTTGTTTTGGAGGATTATTGATAAGGAGACATCTTCCTTGAAAAACTTTGTGTTGTGGTAAGTGGGACATGAGGCTGAGCTCACACAAAGACATGCTCAAAGATGCTTTTTCACGAGGCAACTGGACTTTCTTGTTTTTTCTTTGAAGACGTTTTGCTTCCCATCCAAGAAGCTTCTTCAGCTCTGACTGGATGATGGGGAATGAAAGGATTTATATTCCTTGCAGACAGTTGGTCATTTGCGTTCTTTTAGAGAGTCGTTAAAACTACCTAGAGGCTAATCTGTCTTCAAAGAAAAACAAGAAAGTCTAGTTGCCTCGTGAAAAAGCATCTTTGGGACAACTATGACCTAGATGACTGAGAATCTCCATAGACACAAAGACATGCCTGTTCTAAGGAGACCCTTAAGCATGTTTATATAAATATCAATATCACAAGTATTTTTCCCTTTAGAAAAAATAGTCTATCTAAAAACAACCTTTTTCAGAAATTTCATTTTATTGAATGCAAATTTCTTAAAATTTAGTTCATTAAAATATAAAGCTATCTTTCTGTACATGGTTCCTGGGAATTTGCTTCATTATTAGTTATTAGCTTTGTGAAGAGTTGCACATTTGTTTTAAATAAGAGATTTAAAGAACAATGTCCAGGTTGCAATACTAATCAGCTAACCAGAACTTTCCTTGAATTCAGTGATGGTTTCCAGTAAAGATACAAGTCTCTCTCAAAAGTGTTACATATGGGATTCCAGAAGAGAGATTGCATTTGTCTTTTACAACAAAAAGATGGTTTAATCAATTCCAAGAAAGGGCTTAGCTGGCACATACTGTTTCCTTATTTATGTCTTATTGAGTATCTTTTTCTTCAATTAATTTTGACTGCATGAAAACATGTAACTGGTTCTTCACTCTCCTTCATTATATGTTTTCTACATCAAAACCATGATTATTTATGTAAACTAGAGATAGTTCTCAACTTATGACTACTATTGAACCTAATGTCAAGTTCTATAATAAAGTGAAGGAAGAATGCAAGAAAACAGAACTGAAGAAATACACATTATGTCAATTCATATTATGCAAACACAATTCAATCTGCACATTTGACACGGTTTTAGAACCATTTGATTGACAGAGTCCTTGAATAGATTAGATGCTGAAATCAAAACCTACTTCATTTAGGGAGAACAACTTTCAATGAGCAGTTCTCCAACTTTATTGCATACAATTGTTCAAAGGTTGTTTCAGTTATGTTGTGTGATATTGCAATATACAATGAAAACAAAATCATCTTAGTCTCCTAGCATGTAAGGCAGCCTAAGAATCCACAGAGGTGTCACATAAGTTAACACACAGGACAATCTGTTCCAGAAGCGTTTTTTATTATGCATATGGATCAGAATTCAGTGGAAATACTTTGCATAATTCTTCCAGTCAAACATAACATTTTGCTTCCAAATATGCAGCAAATGTTGTGCCTCATGGTCACCAGGTCTCATTTCCCTTCTCACAGACTATACCATTTCCACAAAAAGTAGATTTCAAATTGCTACACAACAAGCATCTTTAAAATAACAGTCACCAACATTTGATGATATTCAAGCAGACCTCCTGAATGTTCTCCCAACTCAGATCTGAACAACTAAAAAAGATGGGATTTGATTGCTCATGTAGCTGCCCATGTCTGAGCAGCTCCCAATCAAATCCCATCTTCCATAAAATGCTATGCCTTCACTCAATTAAATATATCAAATTTTCTCTTTCAGTGCAACAATAAATACAAAGAAGCCGTCCCATTTATGAACTCCAGCAGGTATTTTTAATCACCACTAAGAATCCTCTCCAACAAAAAGCAACTCTTGAATGAACCTAACAACAAAACAACAAATCAAAATTTCTTTTTGCTGACCTGTAAATGATGCCACTCTCGTGAAGGAACATGAGAGCTGAAATGATTTCTGCAGCATAGAATCTGGCTCGGACTTCATCAAAGCGACGGGATTTCTGGATATGGAACATCAAATCCCCTCCATTCACAAACTCCATAACAAAGAAGAGGCGGTCCTGATCAAAGACAATACCAGATACCATCATCAGTGGAAAGATGTTAATTGTATTTCTTTTTTTCTCCCCAAATCTAATTTTTAAAAAATCCCTTTGAATTGAAAGAGCACCAAAAAGAGCAAAACATTTAAGATTTTACCTTCATAGACCAAACTACGTAGTATTTGACCAACCTAATTCAATCCTGGAATTGGACATTGGAAATCTGGGTTTGCTCTCCCTGCAACCCCAGTTCAGACTGCCCGCCATGCACTCAGAATTTGTATTGATAAAGAGAGGTCAGGTGTCCTGTTTTATTGAAAATAATTCTTTGTTTGAAATGCCATTGGAGGTCTGATCTCTATTTGAAAGTGGGTTTTATTTGAATGGCTATCAAATGCAAGTCTGGTTTAAAGAAGGTAGAACAAATGGTGGTTCTCAACCTGCTAGTCAACTGGTAGCATTTGGTCAGAAGACTAAGCAAGCATACCAGTGGTGAGGTAGTCCCTTCTGTAAAATGAATTGGTTTATATTTCTATCTTAATTATAACAATGGTGTCTACATAAAAAATAAATGCACTTCCACTTTCATACTGGTTTTTGGTAAATGCAAGAAGAGAAGAGATATCCCTTAACTGTTAAAGTTGAAAGTCAATGAGTTTGTCTGGCCATAAGAGTTACACAATCAATGTGCAGATATGACTAAGTAGTGGCAAAGAAGGCAGGCAATTTGTTCTTCAGGGGAATGAAGTACTTATACTGAGATCAAGCACAGATTACAGGGATAACAAAGGTTATTCAGCCCTACAAAATGCCATTTGATCCTTTACTGCCTGGAACAGACCATGTGACATGGTCCAACTATAACAGTATTTGTCAGCTATGCTTGTTCTAATGAGAAAACTTCTAATTCTTGTAGCAATTTGCCTTTTCCCAAAAACGAATTTTTGCTGACTTGGCAGGACCTAAACCTGACATTTGACCATTGTCTAAGTCTAATTCCCTTGATTATAGGAAGCAGACTGGATTATTTGTGTTCAGTTGCAGCTCTACCTGGTTAGGTCTTCAGTATAAATTAAAAGAGAAGATGCATTTAATTTAGAGGAAATCGACTACTAGTAAGCAGAGATACATACACTTCGTCAGCAAAAGACTCACAGAAACCACTTTACAAAATTTCAGTGGGTACAATCCATTGGTAAATGAAGCCAAAATACAAAGTAATCTCATTTGGGTGGCAAGAGTCAGGTACCCATTTCTTCCCTTAAAATTTGCTCAAATTTATCACTCTCTGAAGGCCCCATGGCAGAGAGGAGGAATTCTATAGTCTACAAAAAGAAGGCAAGTGAGTTATATTTTCTGCACTCCTGAGATAGACAGAAGTACCTGATTTTAAGTGCCACTGAATTACTCAATATATTTAGATATATCTAGAAGTAAAGTGAATTATATTTTCTGCACTCCTGAGATAGACAGAAGTACCTGATTTTAAGTGCCACTGAATTATTCAATATATTTATAAGGAAAATGTGCTTGTAAGATTTTCTCCCTTAAAATGATTTTGCCTTAGACACTCTGCATCTTGACTTCAGGAAAAGGAAAGCACCTCTTAAGCTTGGCATGGATTTGTGGAAAAATGTCCAGATATTTCCTCCAAACTGAGTTATTTTACTTAATTAATATTTCCAAAGAAAATCAAAAGCTTGGTTTGTGTGTGATCTTGGGAACTAGATCAGGAATTGTCTGCCAAGATCTTTCTGGATCTTGAGATTATCTACTAAAGTGTTGACTATTGCCCCAACTTGGTGTTGTCTGCAAATTTTATTGAGTTCCCCTTCTATCCTCTCAATTAAATCTAAAGCTTTTGAAGATGTTGAAAAGCACTGGGCCCAAGACAGAATCTTGGGGTACCTCCCCCCCTCCACGTAGATGTAGTTCCACTGAGGACTACATGTTGAATGAGGTTTGTTAACTGATTTTGAATCAATCTGTCTATCCCACATTTTTTTATCTTAACAAGAAATAGGTTGTGGTCTAACTTGTGGACAAATGTCTTACTGAAGTCCAAGTATACTGTACAATATCCACAGCATTTTGCTGATCCACTAATTTAGTCACTTGATCAAGGAATGCAGTAAGATTTGTTTGACATGATCTGCTTTTGAAAAACTCGTGTTGACTTTTAGTAATAGCTTTGCTTGCTTCTAGGTGTTTGCAGATCAGTTGCTAGATTATATTTTCCGGCATCTTTTCAGGTATTGATGTCAGAATGATTTGGTCTGTAGTTTCCTGGATCCATTTTTTTTTTAAGATGGGAACCACATCAGCTCTTTCCCAGTCCTCTGGTAGTTCCCTGGTGCTCCAGGATCTTTGAAAGATACGGTTCAGTGGCTGTGAGAACACATCTGCCAATTCTTTCAGAATTCTGGAATATAATCCATCTGATCGTGGTCATTTGAACTCATCTAAGGTTAACAGGTGTTGTCTTACCATTTTCTGACCTATTTTGACTTCTGTTCCTACTCTGTCTTCTACAGCTCTGCTTTTGGTAGGTTGGGTTATTTTTCCCTTTCGCATGAAGACAGATGTAAAGAATGAATTAAGCATTTCCACTTTCTCCCTGCTGCCCATCACTTTCTTGCCATTTTCTCCTATTAGTGGACCAATCATTTCCTTGATTTTTTTAATATGTTGAAAAAATTTTTTTCAATTAATATATAAAGTGGTAACTACGTTAACCGGAACATGAGCTCTAGGAGTAACTCTTCTCTTTTTTGAAGGACCTGAATTGGTTGCCAATTGTTCTCCAGACACAATTCAGTTTGTTGATGCTAGTCTTTAAGACTTTAAATGGCTGAAGAGTTGATAATATATATTTGGATACAAATATCTAAGGAAACCCAAGTAATTCTACACTGACCCGGTGAGCCCCATCTATATCCAGTTCTGAAACCACAATTCAGACAAGACAATGTCAAATTTGATTGAATTCAAAGGAGGACAAGCAAGGTGAGGTATCTGGAAATCAAGTTCTATGAGGATCTGATAAAGGATCTGGATATATTTAGGCTATAGAAATAATATTAAGGAAAAATTGCTTTAAATATATTCACACAGAAGACTTATTCACTGTTATTCCACAGAGTAGGACAAGAAACAATGAGTTAAAATTATAAAGACATTATGAGGAACTTCTTGACAAAATGAGGTATTAACCAGTGGAACAAGCTAGAACATGAAATGGTGACTTCTCCATCACTAGAGAGCCTACGTAGTGATTTGTAAAAAAAGCTGTACTAGAACAGGAAAGAAGAATGGATGACTTCTGAGCATCCTTCTAACTCTATGATTCTATGACATTTTACAAAATTCAGTTCATGAGCTAATTTTATTTATCATTTGCTATCTGCATAACTATATGATCTTTTTTTTAAAAAAAATACAGAATAACAGAGTTGGAAGGGACCTTTGAGATCTTCTAGTCCAACCTCCTGCTCAGGCAGGAAACCCTAAACCAGTGGTGGCGAACCTTTTAGAGACCAAGTGCCCAAACTGCAACCCAAAACCCACTTATGCATCGCCGGGTGCTGGGTGGGCGTGGCCACCGAATGGGCATGGCCACCGAGCTGTCAGCTCATGCTCGCTCACTGTCCGCTCCGACTTGTGCTCGCTCTCAAGCTGTCTGCAGCAAATGCTGCTTCCGCAGAAAGTTGCTCCTTTTATAGCCTCTTGCCTATTCCCAGACTGTGCATGCGCAGAGAGGAGGGAGCAGCTTGGCCCAGCAATGGCTCGCGTGCCACCAGAGACGGCTCTGTGTGCCTCCTGTGGCACGTGTGCCATAGATTCGCCACCATGGCCCTAAACTATTTCAGACAAATCCTTGTCCAATCTCTTCTTAAAAATTTCCAGTGTTGGAGCATCCACAACTTCTGGAGGCAAGTCATTCCACTGATTAATTGTTCTCACTGTCAGGAAATTTCTTAGTTCTAGGTTGCCTCTATCCTTGATTAGTTTCCATCCGTTACTTCTTGTCCATATTAATATAAATATCTACATATTTATGGATTTGAGTATGATGAAGTAACATAATACCATAATAATATTTTTTTTTTTTTATTAAAAGTTTTATAAATTTTACAAGAAAAACAAGAACAATACAGAACAAAAAACAACATATACAAAGAAAAAAAAAGTTAAACAATACATATATAAAAAAAAAAAAAAAACCCCACCCCACACCCCTCCCAAAAACCCTCCCTTCCCCCCCCCTGAGCTTCCCAGAGCAGAATATAGGCTTGAGAAATAAAAAAAAAATAAAAATTAAATTAAAAACTTTATGTTTATATATATAAAAAAGATATCTATAATATATATAAAAATAAAACTTATGAAAAAGCTATATGATATTTTTGTATACCCAATCTAAATTGTATAAATTTTATCCATTTGTCCCAGATAGCAAAAAACTTCTCTTGCGTTTGTTGCTTTAAGAAAGCCGAAATCTTTGCCATTTCCGCCAGATAAGCTACTTTAAAAAACCATTCCTGCAATGTAGGCAAAGATTCCTTCTTCCAATATTGTCCAACTAACAGCCTCGCGGCTGTGATCAAATTTAACATCAATACAACCTCCTTTGTATCACAATCTGTAACAATACCTAACAAAAATAATTGCGGAGTAAATTTTACCCTCCTTCTAAAAATTCTCTGGATATTCCACCATATTTTGATCCAAAATGCTTTTATCTCTCTGCATGACCACCAAATATGATAATAGGAAGCCTCCTTATAACCACATCTCCAGCATTTAGGTTGCACGTCAGGGTACATGTAAGACATTTTTTGTGGATCAAGGTGCCATCTATAAAACATTTTATAAAAATTCTCCCTTAAATTCTGTGCTTGAGTAAATTTGACATTTCTCATCCAAATAATTTCCCAGGTGTCCAATGAAACTGGCTCACCAAAGTTCTGCGCCCATCTAATCATACAATCTTTAATTAGTTCCGTTTCTGAGTCCAA